TATATTCATAGTTGTCCTGATAAACATAAAATTACATGTGTTATTTACAATTACATGCGTCCTTTTGCATGTATTAAATTAATAAGTTAATATGTGTTATTTATATATATGTTTTGTACTAAATTTGTTACAAAAAACTTGACTTTTTTAAAATAAAAAATTACCTATTATGTTCTTTAAAATCTTTGTTCTAATTAATGGAGTATTAATTAAGTTTGATGTTTACAAGAATATAAATGATGGTTTACACAAGCTTTATTAAAAATACTAAATATTTTTCTAGAGGGTGTGCCTTAAAACACAAATAATATGGATCGGAGCATGTATTTTGCCTTAGTTTATTACTTCTTCCGGTCTTTTTTATTTTTCACTCTATTATAAAATTTATTCAAATATTTTTCATTTTCAAGAAGTCATTAATTATTTTTGCCAATTTCACTATTACTATTCGAAGAAGACAAATAGTCCCCCCGTTTCAAATTATCAGTCGTAGTTTCTAAAAATAATTGTCTTAAATTATTTATCATTTTAGCAGTTCTAGGTAAATTTTTGTTCTATTCTACCCTTAATATTAATTGTTCTTGAAAACTACAAATATCTTAATTATGTGTAAGTATTAAATGAAGATAGATTATATCTTAAGACATAAATAAGGGTAAAATAATCAAAAATCTTTCCTATTTAATATTTTTTTAGGGGCGTGTAAAAGAGAAACACGACAAATAATTTAACACGAAGGGAATAATCATTATTACTTAATTAAAGACAAGAAAATAATAATTTAGTCAAAAACCACATGTGTCCTTTACAACAACATGTGTCCTTCTGCATGCATAAAATAAATAAGTGTATAACATTTGTTACTCATATAGATGTTTTGTAACTTAATTTACAATTTTCAAGTATTAGTTGTCCTGAAAAAAAAAAATAATTACAAAATATTCGATATTTTTAAGAAAACAAAAAATTATTTATTATGTTTTAAAAAATGTACCTCTTACTTCTCTAATTAAGATAGTGTTAATTAAGTTAGTTGTTTAAAAAATATAAATGATTGTTTAGACAAGCATTCTTATGATAAGACTAATTTTTTTTAAAGGGCGTGCAAACGCCTTAACACAAATAATACGAAGAGCATATAGGATTTGAAGTTTATGAGTTCTCAGACGATCTCAAGCTAATACGATATTAATAATTGAGTTCATAATAAAATACTTATAGATATTTAATGAATGTACTTATGTATATATTTTACCCTAGTTTATTCCTCCATTCAGTCGCTATTATCTATCACTTTATCATAAAATTTGTTCAAGATGTTTCCATTTTCAAGATCTTGAAAAACCATTAATTGTCTTTTTCAATTTCACTCTTACTAGTTACTACTTCAAGAAGACAAATGATCAATAATTACTCTTTTACGGATAAATTAATAATTTAGTCAAATATCCTTTATGACCGATATTATTATTAAATATTTTTATTTTATTAGATGTGATAACATTTTAGACAACAAACAAAAGTTAGAAATAAGTATTTAATTATAGTAAACAAATAAAAGATAGAAATAAGTATTTAATTATAATAATTAATATAATTGATGCATAGAATATTTTATTTTGCGGATAAATTAATAATTTATTCAAATAGTTACTGACGTCACCAATACCGGTCATCAAAACCCAGAATCCCAAGTAGATTCTGCTGAAAGGTACAGATGTCAGCCCTCACCTTAAGCAAAACCTTGCGTGGGACTTCAAATCAAGCAATTTTAAATAGCAGGGGCTCGTTTGGTGGGACGGATAAGGAATAATTAATTTCGGGACTAAATTTAGGAAGAGTTTATTTTATGTTTGGTTGGAAAAAAATTACGGTATAATTAATCTCGGGATTAGTTATCCCAGGATTCTAGTATTTTTTTTATCCCCATGAAAAAGTAGAATAACTAATCCCGAAATAACTAATCTCCCACTAACTTCGTTTCAACCAAACGGCTCCTAAGGACATTACTTATTTTCTTTATTTAACCTTTTTCTTATTCTTTTCTTTTTACCAACTCGGTCCTTCTGGTTAGGGCTCACGACTAAGCAAGCAAAGACTCATATGTTGTCTCATAATACATTTTCTTCTTCCGATACGGCGAGAAAACCGATTGAATGATTTGCCCTATTTTGTCGAAGTCATTCTTCTATATCGGTCCTTCTAGTTAGGACTCACGACTAAGCAAAGACTCACGGCGAGAAAACCGATTGAATAAGCTTTATAACTATTTACTAATTTCTATTCAAGAGTCAATTGCACTGAAAAATATTTCAAAAAAAAAATCATAATATACATATTGAGAAATATATTTAATGATTTACCAGTATTAAAATCCTAATTGGGATTGGAGAAAATCTTCCCTAAATTTACCGCCCTTCTATTACCTCTCCTACTACTATAAATTTCACCTATTCTTCACTTTCTCCGTCACTTCAATTCTTTAGTTTTTCAACACTCGGTCTTCAATTCTTCAAAAGGTATTCCACTAGTTTTTTTTCTCCTTTTCATCTTCTTTATTTATTTATCTATTTTTTCTTGTATAAAATTTTCAATCATCTTTATTTGTTTTCTTAAAAGTCTTCACAAAAAAAATAAAATCTTGCCTTTGTTTGAATGATATACATTGGTTGGATTTGCAGGTTTAATGATTTTAGTTATTAATTTTGTTGTTGTTGCTTTATTTTGTCAATTCTTGAATTTGTAATGCCCTCTTCTAAGATTTTTATGGTTTAAAATTTTTAATAAGTTTCTATGATTACTTCCTTACTGTTGTATGTAACGAATCAAAAGGCCCAAAAAAATGTTTTTTTTTTCTCGGTTGTTGTTGTATATTTTTTTTTTATAAACGTGATTTTCAGGCTAACTTGTGCACACCTTGACTAATTTCACGCCCTCCTACCTCTCACCACCAAGACAGATACCGATAACTCTATTCACTAAAAGATTAGATCGATAGAAAGAAATTACTTAGTGATTTTGCCTCCGCTTAAATTTTAATTAAATTTATTGTTGTGTTTTTCCCTTGGAATTAGATAAAACCTTTGAAGGGATTTAGCTTTGGCTTAAAAAATTAGTCTTTTGAGTATATAAAGATTGTTTTTAATTCTTTTTATTTGGGGACTCCCCCTTGTTTGTTTGCCCAAGTTAGAATCTTTAGGCTTTGATTTCATAAATTTCTTAAGGATATCTTTTAATTCAGTTAATCTTATATTAAAATCAATCTTCTTGGTCAATGTTTATACGTAAATAAAAAGAGAACATGAGTGTTTAACTGGTTATTTAATTATATATAACATGTTTTTTATAGACAAAATTGGGATAGGCTTGAGGTTCACCTTAGATCTCAATAGGTGGGTCACACTTTGTAAATGTCATTGTCCCGTCTCATTGTTAAATTTTCTTTCTAACTGTTTGACTCTGATTTATATAACATCTTACTCCATATTTAATTTTTTTTTTCGTTTTCATATATATATATATGTGTGTGTAGAGTATATACATGTATATGTATATGTATGTGTGTTTATATATGTGACATGATTACTATTTGAAGGGTCAAAGAGGTTTCTCGTTGACACAATATTTTAAAAATATTTTGAATTATTAACTATTATAATTTATACTTTTATGTAGTTTTTCATACATATAAATTTTATTTTTAAAAAATCTATATCCCAATTCACACTTTCGTATTCCAAATCGCGCCACATAAAATGAGTCAACGGTAGTTATATTTTTAAATGTTATTTTTCCTGCATAAAAGCCTCGTTCCTGCACCTTTGCCTTGATCAAAATGAAGTTCTTTTAAATCTCATTTGCAATGTAACTTTTTTTGTTTTGTTTATAAAACTGTAAATAGTTTCTATCTATCAGCCTTTGACTAGTAGCTTGCTCTTAAATTATACAGAAGACTATTTGTTATTATTCATCTCTTGACCCTTTGTATTTACTTTGTTATAGTGCAAAAATGGCCACTCAAATATCCGAACACTCAGCTGATACCGTTGCGCATGCTTTTGTTGATCAATATTACCGCATTTTACATATGCTTATCGACCAGTCCTATAGATTTTACAAGGATGAAAGTGTCTTAAGTTGGGCTCGGCCTGATGGTGAACTGAAATCCGCAACGACAACTGATGTAAGTATTATGACAAAAAGATTCTTAGTATTTGCATTGGAACTATGTTTCTGTCTAAGGGATGCTAATAGGCAGAGACGTATCCAGGATTTAAAGTTAATAGGCTTATGATTTTTGTATCATTTCAGGGAATAGCTGAGTTTATCAAATCCTCTCACTTTAAGGATTCTAAGGTGGAAGTCGCAACGATTGACTCCCAAGTATCTGCTGCGGGAGGTTTTCTTGTCGTGGTCACAGCAACCTTGATCGGGCAAGACGAATCAAGAAAAAGTTTCTCTCAGACATTCTTTCTCGCTCCACAGGAGAAAGGATACTTTGTGTTGAACGATATTTTTCGTTTTGTTGGCGTAGTTGAATCTTCAACGGTTGTCACATATAAGGATGACGAAAACGCTTCAGTTGCTTCTTTGGGTATGTCTTTTATGTTTGACACTATCTCAATTGGTCACTTCATTGTTTTACATAGTCTCCACTTATTGTAACTTAAAACTATATTGTTAACTATTTGTATTCAGAACCAGCTACTGAGGACAAAGTTGAAGAAAATGTGAAGGCTATTGAAAGCAAAGTTGACGAAAATGTCAACGAGGTGTCTGAGAAATCAGAGGCTAAGGTTACAACTGACGACGAAGTTGAAAACAAACCTTCAGTCACTTCGAATGAAACAGAACAACCCGTTGTTGAGACAACCTCGAGCGTTGAGACTGGTGCTCCTAAAGTTACCTATGCATCAATGGTTAGTTATGAGGAGATTATAATGTTTTGTTTCTTACAACTAAAGCATTGCCTAATTCAAAATATTTTCCTATAGATGATGATGGGAAGGTCCGCGCCACCAACCAATGCGCCCCATAGAGTTGTAAGGGTTGCTGCAAATGCTGATATCCAATCTGCGCCTAAGAAACCTCAAGCCAATGGTGTACTCAAGGCGTTGGCTTCTAATTCGAATGGCATGCCTATAGCACAAGAACACAACAACTATTCCAATGAAGAAATCGAATGTAAATTTGCATTGGCTTAATGAAATAGTTGATGAATTTTGTTTGAGCAACTTCTGAATTGTTTGTTTACTTGTTATAGGTAAATCGGTATATATTGGAGGCTTGCCAACCAACACAACCAGTAGTGAGCTCTACTCGATTGTTAAACAATTTGGACCAGTTCACAGTCGTGACGTTCAACTCAAAACTTATGAGGAGGTATACATACATATATATATATTTCGAAATGTTGTTAGTTATTTTCGGTTTATATTTACTTAAACATTTTAAATTTTAAAAAAAAATGTGAATGTAGGACGGATATTGTTGTGGTTTCGTGCATTTTCAAGATGATGTGTCTGCTCGTAATGCAGTTCAGGTAATAAATTCTACAATAACCATTCTCTTTCAATATGTCTATGTTTTTGAGTTGTTTGATCATCTTTTGATTTTTGGTTTCTTTCTTTGACTATTAATTCTAGACGCATCATATAATTGTGAGGGGAAGAGAAGCTTATATAAGATTCAAGCGAATCAAAGGTACAGATATATGTGTGCTTATTTCACTGTATTCTGTCATAATTAGAATGTTAATTCTTTTAGTACTATGAATTGTGACAATTTCTTCTTCTAATTTTGTTTAAACTTTAAAGAAATTGATTGGTAAAATTGTTGTCATGCGACCAGGAGGTCATGGGTTCGAGCCGTGAAAACAGCCTCTTGCAGAAATGCAGGAAAAGGCTGTGTACAATAGACCCTTGTGGTCCGGCACTTCCTTGGTTCCCGTGCATAGCGAGAACTTAGTGCACCTGGATTATGTTATAATGATCATGTTGTGTCTAATTTTTCAGGGCGCGGTGAGAGGGGAAACTCTCCATCGGGTAGAGGTGGATTTCGCGATGGTTATGACTCGCGAAGTCGGCCTCAAAGTTCCGAGGGACGAAAGGGAGAAGGTTACCAGCAGAACTACAGAAGGAGGGATTAGTGAGGTGGTGCTAAAAATTGTAGCACCAACTTATACTTAGTGTTGTAGCCTTGTTTGTAGGCTTACATGTTGTATCAAACTTTGTTTTGGTTTTCAACTTCATTTTGAAGTTAACAATATTGGGTTTTGGATTGAAAAACTAGAAAACTATACTCCAGCAAATTTTCTCCCTACCTGTGCAGGTGGATTTCATTAAATATAGAAGACCTCATTTTGAAGTTCTTTTAATGGCTTTGAATGTGAATTTTATTGATCTAGATTTTACCTATTTGAATGGGCCATTAAGTTTGTTAAGGTCCACTATCATTGTGGTGTTATATATCCTTGGCCCAAAGTCATAGTTTTTTTAGGGAAAGTGCACAAATAGCCATTTTAAGGGATGTTAAAATTTCCTTAATAGCATTCCTTTAGAATGACTATCTGATGTCGTTTCTGCTAGTTTTTCAGGTTTTTATGGCCTTGAGAAGTGATCTTTGAGTTTTTCCTTATAGTTTATAATGTGGTTAGCTCTCCGCAACATACTTTTCACAGTAGATAGGTTATGAAGATGGCGCAGACAATAGCAGAAGCTCTTCGACTGGGCGAGGATTCAATAGGCACATTGGCCAATGGAGTGAAGGGATCAGCTGGCTATCCAACAGAGCGAGAAGCGGGAACATGAAGTTTAATATTTTGGCGTTTGTGTTTGCAGTTGCAGTTCATCGTATATGGTTGAAAAGAAACAATCGCAGGTTCAAGCAAACAAGAATAGAAAAGGCTACTAGGCTTAGAGAAATATGTCATGACCCGCCACATCATCATGCCACGTAGGTGTCATTTGGCATATATTTTATCCATATGGAATGGTTACATAAGTTAGGGAAAAGATCTTGGTGGAATATTCTAGAACTATGGAGAATTTCCTTAGAAAAGTTCTAAATATTTATGCATTTGTAGGAAGGTTCTAGAGAAATATAGAGGTTTCCTTAGAAAGACCTAGAACCTTATAGAATTATTAGGAAAGTCCTTAGAAGAATCTAGTTGTGTAGAATATTCTAGAGAAGGGACTTAGTTGTAAATATGGAAGGACTTGTAGAACAATTATTATTTACATATTAGCCCCCAGGTGATTAGTATAAATAGGGGCACTCATTTGTAATTCATCAACCAAGCAAATAATTCGAGTTCTCTCTAATACAAAACTTCCTTTAACAATTCTCTTGTACTCTTTCTTCCATTCTCTTAGCGATCTTGAGTGTAATAAGGCTGACTTGGCATAGCAAGAACGTGAACCAGTTATGCAGGATCGTGAGTGAGTTGCCAAGTGCCGCACGTGCACTTAGTTTAAGACTAAGGACGTGACAAATAGCTCTACAACTGCATATTGTAGGACAAAGGCAATGTAAATGGAAATCAATTCTAATTGAGGGCATAAGAAGACTTTGAGGTTATTTTTGCGGGAGAAATTCAAAAATAGCCAGATTTACAATTGGTCGTTCAAAAATAACTCAGTTTCAAAAGTAATCGAAATTTTGCCACTTTTCAGGTAAAGATAAATCTGAGCGAAAATACTGTTCAAAACCCAAAAAATACGTCAGTATATTATACTGGAGTTCCAGCATAAGTATGCTTGAACTCCAGCATATTATACTGGAGTTCCAGGATAAGTATGCTGGAACTCCAGCATAATATGATGGAACTCCAGCATAAGTACACTAGAACTCCAGCATAATATACTGGAGTTCCAGCAAGTATAATTGTCCAGTATAATATACTGGAGTCAGCAAAGTATACCGGTCCAGCATAATATGCTGGAGTTCATATACAGGTGCACCGAACTTCAGTATATTATGCTGGACCGGTCTCTGTTGCAACAAAATAGTAATTATTTTTCATTGACTTCGTAAACGCTGGTTATTTTTGAATGACCAATCTGAAACTGGCTATACCATGCTATTTTTACTATTTTTGCTTGGTCCTCTCTCTAGAGTCCATAGAGCAGGCGACATTGTAAATGTTTACTTTGGTTAAATATAATTTCATTTTGACCAAAAAATCTTTTTTCTTTTTCTTTTTTAAAAGAAATTTTCAAAATATTATTTGGTTAAACATTGGAATGAGGTTTTGAATTTTTTTGAAGATGCATTTTTCAATTGACCAGTTTTTCAAGTGAAAAATCCTTTTCACTCACAAAATTTTAGTTATTCTTTCTAAGTTAAATGCATGTCCCAAACAACTAACTATCAAATTTCAAATATTCTTTTTCGACATAATTTCAAATATCACTTTTAAAATAAAAAAAACTCATGTCCAAACGTTTCTCTCGCAAAACATATACAAGATCAAATACAGAAGACCCAACTACACGGTAGAAATCATTAGAAAACTGTAATACAAACTCTCACTAAACAATAAACATAGGTGGATTTCGAATTTAAATTCGTTGAGTTCAACCTTTAAAATTTTCAGTATTTTCCTCATTGTACTTTTGAAATTATGAGTTTAAAAGTTGAAATTCTAGTAAGTTTCACATTGATATTTATATTCTATATTAAAAATATTAGGTTCAGGTGAATTTATTGTTTATTCAATTGGTATTTTGAGCTTCAGGATAAATAGAAAATGTCATGAAATTACGTGCCAAAAATGGAGAAACATTTATTCAAAAATTTTATACATTTGTGATGGTTCTTGAGACACATATATCTATCCCATAGTCCCATTTTGATCGATAAATGATTGATCCATAGGAAAAGACTTTGCCAAGAAATTCTCTCATGATATGTTAGCACATGGGATGGGGTCATCTGTTTTTATTTTTTATTTTTTAAATGCACTACTTACTAGTTATCCTTTATTCATATATTTTTTCGTTTTTTCTTATAATCACTTGGTATTCAAAATCTGTTGATTCGATTAGTTCAAATTTACGGCTTGTAAGACTTATTTAAGGGGAAAATGCTTAATATCATCAGTTTCAATATTCATATAACTCAAAGACGAGAGAATTGATTAAGGGTAACAAAGGCGATTTCATATTCGGAGACTTACATTCGAGATTTTTGGTTAAGGACGAAGGAATACTTACCACTACATCACAACTATTGCCCGTAATCTAACTTACTACACGCATTGATGGTATTTTTTTTTTTTTTTTTTGGGTGATGCTAAAGTAGGTAACTTTATGGACCAAGTAGATATAAGACACATGTTGATTTAATTGAGCCAAAAATGATTAAATATCAAGAAAAGGACAAGTTTTTGTGGTTGGTCCACTTCAGTACTTGTTTGCCACCAGCACATTACATAGTATATGCTACCACGCTTCCTTCTTGCCTCCTCAAAAAAGAAGGCCAAGTTTCTATTTTTGCCATCAACAAGGTTTTGCTTCTACTTTAGCCAATCTGATTGAATCATTTTGGCTGCACATTTTGGGTGTTTTTAATATAACGGAAATATTTTTCAAGAAAATATTTGCTTGGAAATACTCATTTTTTAGTGTTTGGTACGTAAATTAAGGAAAATAATTTCTCGAGAATATTCATAAATAATTTAGATAAAATAAACATGAAGCCATAAACTTTCGAACCAACAACCTTTCGAACCCACAAATTTTATAAACTTCTGAACCGCTAAACTTTCGAACCCGCAAAATTTTGAACCTGTAAACTCTATAATTTCTAAATCCGCAAACTTCCAAACACATAAACCTCTGAACTCATAACTT